CGTTATAAAAATTTACAAGAAATGTGCCATTTAAATTGTGCGATGTATTATTGTAAGTAATATTACCAATAAAATTAGAACGAAATATTTTTGCTTCTCCGATTAATTCAACTATGGGTTTGCTTTCATATTGGTAGTCGCATAACGCTTTTTCTCCGCTAAGAATTTGTGAAATGCAATGGGTTTTATCTAATTTCTAAAGTTGATTTCTTTTGCATATTGTAGTGTCGTCTATTGCAATACATTTTCCAATAACACCATATTTGTCATTTTGGGATATGAAGATGTTGGTGAATTCTAAGTAGACTCTTTTATTATTTTTTACAGTTGATCGTATAAGGATGTTGTTAAATAGGGTATCTTCCGTTTTAGGTATTGAAATTACATATAAAAGAAGTGAATCTTTGATGATCATTGACGGTTCTGCGTATTTAAGGGCCTGAATCTCGTTTTTGAAAGGTAGTTTATTGGTTTGAGATAGTACATTAGCGATATCTTCTTTATTTAAAATTTGAGAGTGAATGATTCCTTGTTTTGCTAACTGCGCTGCCATGACGATTTTCGCAATTTCGTCTTTTACTATACCTAACTCATTATAAAGTGTTTGTGTGAATAACTCTTTGTTATCCTTTGCCTCTTCGTCTATTATTCTATTATCTAAAATCTTTGTATTCGTCCTAATGAGATATTGGTTAACAGTATATTGTCTGTCGCCGTTTTCAGTCAGTTCGTCTGTTTTTGAGAGGATTTGATCCCAGTCGGTTGCGTCGGGGTTCCCTGCCAACCATTTCCATGCGGATCCTACCCAGTTTATTGATCTTTTTTGTATGGTTGCGTTCTTTGTTCGTAGCTGGTCGAGTAAGTTGTCTATTTCTGAAAGTTGATGCTTGAGTTGAGGAAATAACATGCTCGTTTTACTGATGTCATGGTTTATAGTAAGTCGTATATCGTTTACAATTTTTTCATATTCGTCCAAGTTGATAGTATGAATAATTTTGTATGTTCCTTCAATGATTTTCCCTAGTCCTTGTTTAATCGTTACAAGTGGGCTGTTATATTCGTATGTAGCGATAGTCGAGTATGGTAAAAGTCTGGAATGTAAATGTCCGTTGGCCTAATAATACCGTTATTTAAAAGTTCCGTTATCTGTATTTCAACTTCACCGCGAAGATTGGTTGGATAAGGGTATGACTTTGTGTAAATCGGTTCCTCTGTCGTTGTCCTTATTTCTGCTAACACGGTTGTGTCTATTGTTCCACTGTCAGAGACTGGTCCGAAAATGTCCTCGTATTTATTAAAAATTTCGTTAAGTTCATTTTCATAAAAGGTTTCTTCAAGATTATTAACTTGTTTTGAAATTTTCTGTTTCAATGGCAATACCACATCTCCGATAGTTAGCGTATCGTCCTTCCTATTTATAATTGCTCCTAATTGTTTGAGAGTATCATCGCCTATGATACCATCAAAGGATTTTAAATTTGGAAGTATAAAGAAATCAAAATTATTTTTTATACCAATGCTTTTAAAGAATGGTCCTGATAGTTTATGAGTGATTTCTATCTGACCAGCAGCTGATTGAACCTTAAAAGGATATTTTAGTTTTTTGGAATTGTTTGCGATTTTTTCGTAAGCAAACTTTTTGTTGGCACCTGTATCTACGAGAAATTTTAAGGTGTCACCGTCTTTTAAGGTGAGTTCTAAATAGGGTAATGTAGACAGGCGTTTGTCATAAAATTTACTTCTTCAATTTCTTCACCACGCTCGTAATCTGGATCCTGCGTTTCTAAGTTATATAATTTTGGGCTTTTCCTTGGAATATTAGAAGAAACATTTGACTGCCTTACCACTGGCGTACTTTCTATTCGATTCATATAATTAACTCTCCTAGAATGAATCGAAGGGTCTACTTCTATTAGAACTGGAGGTTTCGGCTGCGTTGGCCTTGGCGGAGGTGACATTTGATTTTCTGTATTCCTATTATAGATTAGATTTTTTTCGCCAGGACCTAATTCCCTGGGTGGTGCAAATGTTTGCTTTTGCTTCACTTGATTTTTTGGCACTTGGCTAGGTGTGCTTATGTTCCTAGGGTGAATTGAATAATTCCTTAAATTTAAATTTTGTATTTCTAAGCAGAAGGAGTAAGCCTCCGGTAAGTTTTTGGGGCGCTGGATGACTAGCATCCTCGATAGCTCGCCATTCAGTCCTCTTATAAATACATCAAGGGCTCTATTCCTATATGTTTCTAAGAGCGCATTGCTCGTTTCTCTGGAATAATCCTGAACTTTTATTTTATTAATTATAAGGGATAATTGGTGATTAATCCTAGCATAGAATTGATCAACGCTATAATGGTTTTGTGATAAGGATCTTAATTCGTGTTCAAGGGTCCTTAGGTCACGTTTGTCTGCGTAGTGCAACGACAAACAGTTTTTTATTCTTCCCCAATCCTCATCGAATATGTTATAGGAAATCAAGGCTGTGTCTGCAGGACCTCTAACTTTCTGCCTAATGTGCCGAAGGATGGCTCTGTATATAGGTTTAGTTTTTACTATCTCATAGAATTGCAATATAGATTCAACATTGTGAATCCAGGAAATAAATTGGACGGGATTACCTTCAAAAGTGGGAAGGTTTTTAACACTGTCAGGAAGCCTACATATTTCAAGCAGATCTGTCTCTGTTAAAATTGTTGGGCTCTGTTGAGTTACAGGTTCTGTGTGAGGATTAACTCCAGATTCTAGCTGATTAACCCTATTACTTATAGCCCTCATCTGTTCTATTTGTGCATTAACTGCACCAGTTAGCTGTGTTACTGCGTCCTGTAATTGCTCCATTGAAGTTACTTTTTTATAGAATTTTAAGTATAAAAAAATATATAATTTATTTTTACAAAGGATTAGGTTTTTGCTTTCGTTTTTGAGAAAAGAAAAAAAAAATTTTTTTGGATATAACACTTTAAGATTGTAAAGTTTAAAATTGTAAAAAACTCAAATTTAATTTTTCATTTATTTTGAAAGGTAAATAATTTATATAAAAATATATTACATTATTACTATTATGCTGAAGTTCATTCTGCTTCCGGCTGGTCCGTATTGCTCCGTTTTAGAGATGTCTTCTTCTCCTACTCAGGTACGTGTACTCAACACAATAGTCTTCACTCAGGTGGTTTCAGATTTATATATTAGTGCCGTATTTTTATGCGAAAAGCACCTTTTTGAAATTTGGTGCTTTATTCTTTGCACTAAATTGTTTTTGGTTAAATGTTAAGTCTTTTTCTTGGAATTTTTTGAAATTTGGTGCTTTATTATTTGCACTAAATGTTTTTTAATTTAACTTTTCAGTGTTTTTTTTTGTGGACTTTTTGTGAACTATTCCTCGCACTAAAATGCTTTTTTTATATTAAACTTTTTTTTTTTTAAAATCGTTAATGTTTTTCTTTGCACTTTTTAAACGGAATGATTTCTTTGGTGCTTCTTATAAATTGCACTAAATCGTCTTTAAATTAAAAAATTGTTAGCGTTTTTGTTGTTTTATTTGCGCGATATGATTTCTTTGGTGCTTCTTGCCCTTAACTTTTAACCGAGTCCCTGCTCGGGCGCCAATTAGAACACACCCTCGTCGTGATTGGAATGAACTTAAACTTCTTTATTGAAAGTTTTCTCTTTTATACAATTTCTTATGCTTACTTATTACATACTTATAAATTTACGTTTATACAAACAAACTGACATAATTGTGCTGATAATACACTAAAATAATTGTGAACATTATTTTTGTGTTTTGCTTATTATTTTTCTTACTGTTCTACTTAGGTACTAAAATTGCTGACAATGCAATAAGTTGAAATTGAAATTTGGCTTTTAGCTTATTATTGTTTTTATATTATTTTGCGTATGCACTAATTTGCAAGTGCAAGTAACTTCAATTGCTCCACAACGGTTTCACGTAACGTCTGCACGACTTCCGCTTGAAGTTAGTACGACGAAATGTGAAGCAGTTGTTGTTGTTGGATTTTTGGAACTGCTTACTGTGTGACTTAGTTTAGTTTCTGCTAACTGTGCTAACTTAAATGCTTGAAAGATTCTTGGGTAGGTATAAATAAGGTATATGATACGTACTCTCTGCCTCAGATGTTCTTTTAGAAAAGTACGCTATTGGGTGAAAATTTCCATCATCTTGCTTTTGTAGCAAGATTGCCCCAAAGCCGTGTGCGCTTGCGTCGCAGTGCAACTCCGTTTTTCTTTTGTGACAGTATATTGCCAGCACTGGGCTTCAAACTAATGTTTCCTTTAGTGTTTGAAAGGCGTTAACGCTATTATAATTGAAGCAAAACTTTTGGTTTTTCTTCAATAGATCATATAACGGACGTGCTATTATGGAGAATGATTTCACAAACTTTCTGAAGTATGAGCATAACACTATAAACGATTGCACCTCTTTTTGGTTTCTAGGGGTTTGGTAGTTTGTTATGGCTTTAATGTGGAACTCAGAAGGTCGTATATTAAAATCGGATACAGTGTAGCCTAGATATCCTATTTCATTATAAGAAAAATTTGCAGTTACTAAGTTTTATCTGAAGGCCATAGTGTGCCAGTTTTTCTAACACTTTTTAACTAAATCATAATGGTCACTCAAAACTTTGTTACCAATTATGATGTCATCCATATATACCATTATTTCATTTCTTTCGCTAAACTCTTTCAGAATTTTCGTTATAAATCTTTGGAAAATGGATGGTCCATTCTTTAAACCAAATGGCGTTCTTAGAAACTCGTACTGGCCATTTGGAACCACAAACGAAGTGTACTTTATTGAGCCCGCCATTTTTATTTGAAAAAATCCTGACATCAAATTTAAAAGTGCAAAAATTCTATTTTCGCCCAAATATTCCAAACAATCTTCAATTAACGGAAGTGGATAGTTATCCCTCACTATTGATTTATTTATGTTTCTATAATCAATACATATTCTAGTCTCGCCTGATTTCTTCTTTGTGAATCGAATAATCTTTTTCTTAAGCAATTCATCTATAATGCGGCTAACTTCGATTTCCTCAGCGAACGATAGAGGACTCGGTGAGCAGAAGGTCGGAATGTTTGACGTAAGCGAAAGTTTGACCTCATAATCTATATTCGGAAGGTCTTCACTTTGTTTTTGTACGTAAGTATTTTTTATCATAAGTCTTAACTTATCCGCCCAAACTGAAGGTAATTTCAATATAGATTCAACATTGTGAATCCAGGAAATAAATTGGACGGGATTACCTTCAAAAGTGGGAAGGTTTTTAACACTGTCAGGAAGCCTG